CACGACAAAATCGAAACCAAATGAAATGATCTTAATAGTCAAAGCGACAAATTCCCCAAGTAAAATTTGAATTAAAAAAGTTAATTGATATTAAAAATCACATTTTCAATTTCGTTGTCGACTTAAAATTTGTTTAATCAATATTTATCAATTTTAATTTGTCACGACAAAATCGAAACCTACTTGAATACACTTAATAGTCAAAGCGACAAATTCCCCAAGTAAAATTTTCATTAAAAAATATTAATTGTTATTAAAAATCACATTTTCAATTTCGTTTTCGACTTAAAATTTTTTTAATCAATATTTATCAATTCTAATTTGTCACGACAAAATCGAAACCTAATTGAATACACTTAATAGACAAAGCGACAAATTCCCCAAGTAAAATTTTCATTAAAAAATATTAATTGTTATTAAAAATCACATTTTCAATTTCGTTTTCGACTTAAAATTTTTTTAATCAATATTTATCAATTCTAATTTGACACGACAAAATCGAAACCTACTTGAATACACTTAAAAGTCAAAGCGACAAATTCCCCAATAAATAGTTTTCAAATTTGTCGCTTAAAGATTAAAAGCTAAAAACCAAAATTTTCCTAAAAAATTCGATAGAGACCTGAACAATCGATATAATTAAGAAAAATTGCATTAAAAAATTATTTCTATCATGAATATTTTGTCGTGCATCTCATTTTGTCTTAATTAATTGTTTTCGAATTTGTCGCTCAAAGATTAAAAATTAAAAACCAAAATTTTACTAAAAAAATTCGATAAAGACCTGAAAAATCGATATAGTTAAGAAAAATTGCAATGAAAAGATTATTTGCATCATGAATATTTTGTCGTGCATCTCATTTTGTCTTAATTAATTGTTTTCGAATTTGTCGCTCAGAGATTAAAAGCTAAAAACCAAAATTTTACTAAAAAATTCGATAAAGACCTGAAAAATCGATATAGTTAATAAAAATTGCATTGAAAAGATTATTTGCATCATGAATATTTTGTCGTGCATCTCATTTTGTCTTAATTAATTGTTTTCGAATTTGTCGCTCAGAGATTAATAGCTAAAAACCAAAATTTTACTAAAAAATTCGATAAAGACCTGAGAAAATCGATATAGTTAAGAATAATTTTTTTAAATTGAATTTTTTTTTGAAAACTAAATTTTTTTTTGAAAAATGACTTGCCTACTTTGTTACGGCAAAAAAACGGCAAATTTCTGTCAAGAAGAATTTTGTGAATTTTTGTAAACAACGGAGTTAGAATGGGTGCTTCGCTAACTTTATGTAAACTTAGCAAAGCACCCTATTTTAAAAAAAATTGAAGAGCGACAAAATTTTTTTTTTCACAACTAATTAGCGACTAAAAAGCGGCAAATTTTGGTCTATATAAGACTTTTGGTTATTGAAGTTGTTTCGCTAAGTTTATGTACGTAAATATTTTTGCTGTTCAAAGTAAAAACCTAGTAAGTCGCTTTTCGATAAGTTTGAAAGTCGATAGAACGAGTCAAACGATTTTCACCCTTATGGAAAAGCAATTTACTAGATTTTTATATTGCACAGTAGATTTTTCATTTAAAAAAATTTGAAGAAAAAATTTATTTTTTTGATTCAAATAAAAAATTTTTTTTGTATAATCAAAAGAAATATTTTTTTGCGTCAACAAAAAAAAACAAGTAAAGAAATAATTTCTTTAAATCACAATGCAAAAATATATAGCAAAAAGAAAATTTATAAAGAAACCTTTATTTTTAAATTTTTGCAAAAAAAAAATTAAAAATAAATTTATTATTGGCCATTTCAATATAATTTTATCAAAATATAAAAAAAAATGATAAATAATTTTTTTTTTTTATTACAAATGTAGTATGCAATTTGTTTGTAAAAAAAATAAAAACAACATTATATCTTGTGCATACAAAAAAGCCAAATAATATTGTTGAGAATAATTCCAATGTAAACATTATTTAAGACATATGTGATATGATAAATGATTATATTATACTGACACATTAGTATTATTCAATTGCTCGAATCAAGACATATTCTTACTTTTTTATCCAGGTAAATAGCATATGTATATATTTATATATAGATATATATACATATATATCCAAGTACCATTTTTTATTTTGTATTATAATTATTAAAGTCAATTTACAATTAGTTAAATAATAATTTTATTATTATGATTATTAATTCACTTTCACTTTCACTTACACTAAAATTTTCCAATACTCATTGACTTAAACTTTCAATTACATAGGATAAGTCCGGGGGAATTGGCCATAGTTTTTTTAAAGGTCTGTAAAAATAAAAAGAAAGTGATTTAAATGTACTAACTTTTATTGCTAATTAAACATTGAATTTGAATTTTTAACTTACAAATAATAATAGAAATGAGAAATTTTTTAAATGCAAACAATCTTAAAATTAATATTTTTTAAAAAACGCGTTTGGTCTTCTTTTCTTCTTCTGACCACATTTCGAACATTTATCATTAAATTGAGTGCAATTTTCATGAAACAAAGGTTACAATCATTGCACTGAATCCAGTCTTCGATAAGCGCTCTCTGTTTGTCTCTCACCAACACAACAAGTCTACAAGGTATTTTTTTGAGATATCAGAGTGGTTTCCAATTTATTTTTGTGTCCTGAACACGATTCCGGGTTACAAAATTGCGTACCACATCACACAGAAAAAACCTAGTCTCATTTTTGTTGCAAATCAAAATGAGCCAATGCTAAACGACATAGACAGTGGCGCCACCAACTTAGTTCATTTTTGTTGCACATCAAAATGAGCCTTCTACATGGCTCATTCTGAGTTCAGTTTTTTTCTGTGCAGTATTTTGACCCTCACAGCACCAGATATCCTAGGATATTCCATAAACATCCCTTGGATATCCTAGGGATACCTCAGAGCTATCCTAAGGATACTTTAAGGATATCCAAAGTAGCGGCGGTTAGGATATCCTATGGATATCCCAGGGATATCTAAGGATGTCCCTAGGACGTCCCAGGGATATCCTAATTATTTCCCCGGATATTATTAGGATATCCTGTGGATATCCTTAGAACGTCTCAAGGATATCCTCAGGACGTCCAATTACGTCCTAAGGTAACAGCCCAGATTTGAAAGATAATTGACAATCACGGGAAACCTATTTGTATCAAAAAATCGCTATCTCAAATAGTCAAAATTTGAATCATAATGATATCCTAGGGAGATCTTAGCGATATTTCTAGAATATTTTAACGATATACCAAGTTCATCCCAAGAATATCCCCACGATATCACTAGGTCATCCTTGGAATATCCCAGGGATATCCCTTGAATATCCTCAAGATATCCCCAGGATATCCCAAAAATATCCTACGTAACGGCGGTTTGGATGTTCTGAGGATATCCTAGGATATCCTAGGATATCCTATGGACGTTTTCAGGATATCCTACATTAGTTTAGGATATCCTTTTGTTGTGAAGGGAGTAAAGTGGGGGTAAAGTCTCCAAAACTCGTGTTTTTGAGGGTTTTCAATTTTTTTTTCTCCTTAACCCCGGCCCAGGGTTGCGTGGCGCAGGAGTGAAATTAAAATTAAATTATATGATTTAAACTTTAAATAATATAAGACTTAACAGTCTTGTACTGTAATTTTACAATAAAATTATTTTAAATTTAAAAATTAGAAAATTTCGTAAAATCGTGAAATCGTAAAATTACAAAAAAAATTTTTTTTTTTTTGATAATAACGCTGTGAATATTTATAAACCATTATTCGATTAAATTTCTTGAATAGGATTGTTATTGGTGCTTATTAATGTGTAAATTTCATATAATCAACTTCATTTTATTAATATTTAACGAAATTTTCAGATAACCGAGCCACCTAATCCCGAATGTACTTTTGAAATATTTATTAATTTTTTATAAAAACTGTTAATATAAATCAAAAAATTTTATTTTGTTTCTTAATAACAAATGTATAGAGCTCAAAACTTAATATTTGAGCTCTTCTAAAATTAATTTTTTAAAGAGGTATCACAAAAAAAATGAAGAGGTTAAAAAATTACTTTGGAGTGCCAAAATCAGTTAGTATTTTAATCTATACTCCACAATAATTAATGAATATTAATGAAATTTTGTACAAACTTACAGTTCATCAAGTACTTTAAGCAGAATAAAGAGAAAAATTAATGTAACTTAACACTTTTGAATAAACTCAAGTGCGCCAAACAGCCCCGGTCTCCCCTAAGTGAGAATAAGAATATAAAAATTTTTAGTTTAAGTTAAAGTAAGAGTGTAAATTTATAACAAAAAAACTTTAGTGACAGTAAAATAAATGTAAAAAACAACTTTTAGTGAGAATAAAAATGTAAAAAATTTTATTAAATAATACAGTGAGAAAAACATTTTTTTTTTCCGAAATCGAAAGTGAAAATACTCAGAGTGGAAAAGTAAAAAAAAAAAATTTCAAAAGTTACAGTGAGAGTGAGAAAGGAAAAAAAACAATTTTCCTAAAGTGAAAGTTTTGCAAAAAAAATTTTTTTTTTTCTGTTCTTTATACTCTTTCAAGAAACCAAACAATATTAATATTTTTATGTACCTTTCATGGAAAATTTAAAAATAAAAGAGACAGTGTGATAATAAATTTAAAGCATTTGTAATAGATTCTTGGAATGTCATTAAAAGTCACAATTGTAAAAAAAAAAAAAAAAAAAATGATAAGAGAAGAAAAAAATTAATTTGTAATACACAATTGCATATATGAACATTTTTTAATAATATTTGTTTAATTTCAAATAATTTTTCAACTTTCTAATAAACCAGTCATAAATAATATTTGTAAGTTGATAAAAAATTTTTTTAAGGAAAATAAAATTTTATTTACGAAATAAATATTACAATAAATAATTTTATTACTGCTTTATATGTTTTTCTTGATAAATATCAAGATAATAACGTCATTTAAAAAATAAATCAAAAATTCTTTACTTAATTATTTGAAAAACAATAATCGCAATTATTGCTATAGTACAATATTAATCGTGTGATACATAAATTGAAAAAAAAAAAAAAAATAATAACTAATCTAACATTTTAAGAAGAACTGAAACAATCAATTGTATCTGAGTTTCAGTTATTTAAGATGGAAAACTACATTTATCTCTTTGGACTATTGTTAACAGCTGTTTGTTCTTTAAGTTTAGAATTAAATAAATTTCCTTTAAAATTGGAGCTGCAAAATGTGAATATAGTAAGAAAAAGAATTATTTAATTTTTTAACACTTCTTTGTAATTATATAAGTAGTGCATAATGTAATATGCGACGCACACTAAAGAAAGGGACTTAACAGAAAAAAATTGGAGGTTATGTTTTGAAATTTAAAAGTGAAAATACACAGAGAAAATCATCTCTCAATACGAATAATCGATACTTAAGTTTTCATTATATGTGACAGTCCCCGAGAGAAGGGACCTTAGCTCACCAAAACGAATTTCACAGGGCAAGCGTTTGAAGAAGAAGCAGAAACGCGGAACTCGAAGAGTGGGGCGGAACTTCTGAAAAGTTCCCCCACCACACTAACACAACGTTGTGTTTCTGTATACGTGAGCTTCGTCTACTTCGTGTATCTTCGGGTCTCACGTACGCGAAGCTCACGTACGCGAGAGTATAGTTGTGTAAGTAAAGTAGTGGGGCTGATTTCTTGAGTGCCACAATCCGCCTCGAAATGCGCTTGACATACCCATCTTCAAAATGTTATTGTGTCAAAAGCAATTATCCTAATCAGTTTTTGACTTTTGCATGTGAAAAAGCAATTCAAAATCTATCATTTACCATATAAAACTCAATATTGACCTCTGGTGAGCTAAGGTCCCTTCTCTCGGGGACTGTCACATATACAAATTATGCAATAAAAACTAATTTTATTTTAAATAAATAGAAAGGAATTTTTAATCAAGGTTAAACTATCGTAAACATAACCTATAACTCGTTTGCTTCTTGGGTCCCTTTTTTTAGAGCGCGTCACATATAATATAATATAATATAATATAATATAATATAATATAATATAATATAATATAATATAATATAATATAATAAATTATTTGTAATTTGGACTAAATCCAATTTTCTACAAAGAATCAAAATCAAAATTTCAATTTAATTTACATGTTTGACAATAGATATTCAGGCATGGAGATCGTACACCAGAAAAATTTCGCGGCGAAATGTATCCTACTGATCCAAATATAAACAACACATTTTATCCAATGGGTTACGGAGGTTTGACAAATGTAAATTTATATAAATATTTCACTTTTGTATAAAATATAATTATTTAAATTAATTTTCCAATGGTTTTAGAGCAAAAAATTATAATTTTCTTTACAAAATTATTAGTTAAATTAAAAAAAAAAAAATTACCGTCATTCATTACAGAATGGAAAATTACGAGCATATTCATTGGGTCAATTTCTTCGTGAAAAATATGACAACTTTCTTGGCGATATTTATTTGCCTGAAGATATTATGGCAAGAAGTACAAATTTTGATAGAACAAAAATGTCACTACTCGCTGTTCTTGCGGCATTATATCCTCCAAATAAAATTCAAAAATGGTATCAAACACTTAATTGGCAGCCAATTCCAATAGATTATGAAAATCCAAAACAAGATTCATTGCTAATGCCTACAGGTTGTCCTAGGTAAAGATAAATATAAATATCTTTTTAGTTTAAATATTTTATTAAAAAAAACTATAGCAAACAAGATAATTCTCGTTCAATTAATTTTCATCAATCGATAATTTCTATTACGCCAATTTTAAAGTTTTCAACTATTAAAATTGGGGGTTTGTTTTAAAAAAAAACTTTTCTAAATTTTTTTTTTAAAGAATAAAACAAAGTTTATTTAACATAATAGAGGGAGAATTTTCTCTTCAATATTCAAATTTTACGTGTATACAATAGTCAATCATCGCGCGTGGAAATTACGTCAGAACACTAAACATCCTTAATTAATGCTAATAGCAAATCAGGCACACGTATATGCTTCCATTCTGCAAGCAATGCGGATTATCCGGTTTTCCCTCATTAATAGTACAGTAAAAAAAAAATAAATAATAATTTAGATTTAAGGCTATGGAAAGAGAAATTCGTCAACTACCGGAAGTATTAAAAAAATCATTAGAATTTAAAGAACTATTGAGAAAATTGACACACTGGTCAGGAAACAATATGACACACTGCAAATCAATATACAATTTATACAATACACTTGTTGTGGAGAAAACAATGAATCTTAAAATTCCACAATGGGCTGATGATATATTGGCTAATGGAGAATTAGAAAAAGGAGTGGCATTTCATATTCAATTGAAAAATTATAATACAACACTACGAAAATTCAATGGTGGTAAGAAGAATAAATTTTGTTTTTCTGATAATCTAATCGATATTACTGCTCGGTCTAGAGTGACGATTCGAGCTCGAGGCGCTCCTTTTATATATGAGTGTATCGGTCGAGGTGGGGAGGGGGCCTACGGTAGGGGGAAGCGCTCTCTCTGATTGGTCGCTCTTGCCAAGTGGTGGCGATCTCACTTAGCTCGACCAATCGAATACCACCTCTCCTATATACTTGTTTCTCGCTCGCGCCTCGGGTATAAATATCGGTTACTCAGCAGCGAACGAAACAGTTTTGTACTCTTCCTCTTGGAGCTCAGTAAAGACTCACTTTTATTGAAGAAAAAAATTAATTGAATATTAAAAATAAATTTTTTTTTTTTTCTAATAATTAGACTAATTTTATTACATTAATAACTTGCACCCATTTGTCCGAAACTTTATAAGCAAGAATTATCATATTACAATATGTGCCTGAAATTCTAAACGTTCAGATCAACGAAATCATTTTTATGGTTTATACATTTTTTAAAAATTACTACAGCAAATAAAATAGTACAATAAATTATAAAATTATTTTTCCATACTGAAATCTATTTTAAAATAAAATTTGAAATTAAAAAAAAATAGTAAACAAACAATTTTGACATTTTTTTGGACCTTTATAAATTAATAAAAAAAAAAAAATTTTATCAAAATCAAATAAGCCTTCCTGAATTCCAGAAGTAAAAAATTAGGTTAGGTTTAAGGACAAATTGACACAAAAGTTTTTATTTAAATTTTACCTAGAAACTTAAAGATTAATGATAAATGAAATATAAAAAATTCGACAAGCCTTAATTCTCACCAAAAAAAAACTAGTTTTTCCTATGTTATTAAATTATTATTTCAACTTTTTGTAAATACCCAGATAGCACGGAAACTTGCAGCAAGTTAACCGTGCAAGCTTGTCTGAGCTAGCGAAATGTCCCACCCAGGGCAAGCTTGCCGTGAAAGCTTGCTGTAAGCTTTCCAGGAAAGGTTGCTGTAATTTTGCCATGAAAGATTGCTACAAGATTGCTGCAAGCATATTAAGAATGATTGTGGCAAGGTTGCCGTGAAAGATTGCTGTAAGCTTGCTACGTAAAGTTGCAGGAGAATTTCAACAAGCTTCTGGAAAGGTTGCTGCAAGCTTACAGCAATCTTTCACGGCAAGCTTGCCGCAATCATTCTTAGTATGCTTGCAGCAATCTTGTAGAAATCTTTCATGGCAAGATTGCAGCAACCTTTCCTGGAAAGCTTACAGCAAGCTTTCACGGCAAGCTTGCCTTGGGTGGGACATTTCGCTAGCTCAGACAAGCTTGCAGCAAGCTTGCGCGGCAAACTTGACAAGCTTGCACGGTTAACTTGCCGCAAGCTTGCTGCAAGTTTCCGTGCTATCTGGATAATATTAAACATACATTTTCGCAAATCTAATTTCGATTTAAACAAAATCTTGATCCAGTAAAATTGTTTTAGGACGGCTTTTGCGAAAAATGACAAATAATATGATTTCACGAATAGATGGAAATTTAGAGAAAGGAAAAAAAATGAATCTCTACAGTGCTCATGATATTAATGTGATTGCGCATCTTCTTACTCTAGGAGTTTCAGAAGCACATCAGCCATTTTTTACAAGTGCAGTAATATTAGAATTATATCGTGATTTCAATAACAATTATCACGTACAGGTAATAGAAAATAATTATATTTTTATACGCAGTGAAAATAAAAAATTTATTTTATTCAAATAATTGGTTATCAAAAAAAAAATATATTTACTTTTGAAGCAAATAATTTTTAATTAAACTGTATTTTTAAAAAATTATTTTTTATAAAATTTTAAAGTTCATTTCTTCTTTTCAAAATTAGGTTCTATATTATAAAGGTGACTCAAAAAAAGCAGAAATTATGACAATACCAAATTGTACATCAACTATTGATAATATGTGTGAATTTAATCAATTTTGTGATTTAATGAATACTACAACGCCAAGCAGTGAGGAATTACTATGTACATAGTAAAGATTCTAAATTACAATTTATTTCAAAAAAATAATAAAAAATCATTGTTTCTTCTTTTATACTTACAAATTTTATTAAGTATTTATAAATTCTTGTCAAAAAAATTAATTATTTCTCAATAATAAATGTATCGTTTTTTTTAAATATATCTATCGTTTTAGAATAAATTATTTGAAAAAAAAAAACAAATGCATATGTACCAAATATACGCGTACCGAATATATGTAAGAAAAATTTTAAGAAAATTTTAACTGATTTGCAATGGCAAAAAATTATATATATGTATATAAAATATGTTACGTTTCTCGCATTCGAAAACGAAGAAATTTGTTTATCAATGAAAGTCATGGGGAAAAAAAATACTATCGGAAACGGGAGGAATATTGATGCTTGCCATTTTGAAAGTTATCGGTTCTATCTTACATGCAAATCACTAGCAACTACTATGCTATGCGAAGAATTTATTGGGAAATTCGTGAACTTTTTGCCCTTGACGAGACATTTGTGGCGAATTTTGGCTTTTAAAGTTTACCATTTGAAATCACAAGATGAATATAAAAATGCATTTATCGATATTCAATCTCTTTTTTTTTACTCTTTTTGTAAATACTAAATTAAATTTTAATATTTTTAACAAATTATTTTTATATTTAAATCTAGTTAATTTATTAGACTCACGTTTTCAATGGAATAAAATATGTAGAGCACTCTTGAATTCTTTTTTTTTTTTTTGAAGTTATAAATTGAGAAAACTCGTATTCGCAACATATGCTCTTTCGCAAAAAAGGAACCGTACAAAAGAAAGGAAGAAAAATTGGAGTGATTTAAATTAGTGGTAAAGAGCAAAAAAAGAAACCTCCCCCCCCCCTCAAAAAACGAAAAAAAAATGTGAAGTTTCTTGCACTGCAAGCGAAGGAATTTGTTTACCAATGACGGGAAACAAGAAATGTGAATGGGAACTGGAGGAATGGATGCTTCCCATTCTGAAAGTTATCGATTCTAACTTACATGCAAATCACCTTTTACTTTTGCTTCTACTATGTAGAGAATTTATTGGGAAATTCGTGAAAGTTTTTGCCTCAAACGTGACATTTGTGGTGAGTTTTGTCATTTAAAGTTTATATCGTTTACTTTACAATAAAGTATAAGAAAATGTATATCTACAAAAAATAGACCCCTAATTTTCAAAAGTTTACATTTCACTTTTAAAAAAAAAAAGTATTCTCTAAATTAAATATAAGAAAAAAGTGGATCTATAAAATTATAAACATAAAAAATATATTGTATAATAAATAAAAATATGTTTCAAAAAATGTTAAAAATAAAAGAATATATATAATTTTGCGAATTATTATATGTTGGTACAGAGAAAATTAGAATCTTATAATTAAATTTAAATTCTATTATAGTTTTATTATATAACATCCCAGATAACACACGTACTAGTACGGTAGCAGTACAATACTAGTACGGCGTACTAGACGTACTGGTACTGTACCAGCCATGTACCTTCGCACGGTACCAGGTACCGTACTAGTACGGCGTACCGGTATGCAATATCGGTAGAATACGAGTACGATACCAGTACGACGTACTGAAAGACTTCTGTAAGTTAGTATAACGTACCGTTATTGTACTAGTAATATACTAGTACTGTGTACCGGTATGAAATACTTCCTTTGTACTGGTACTATACTAGTACGAGTATAAAAAAGTGTACTGGAAATTACCCTCCCCTCCTCCCTACCACCTGGCTTTTATTTCAGTTTAATTTATAATTATTTTTTTTGAAAAAATACAATTCATGTCATATAGTTTTAACAAAATATTATTTTTATTTGAGAACTACATATAAACATACATATAATATATATAAATATAATTTTAATATTTATATAATATACATTATTTTTACATTAAATTTATAAAAATAAGTGTTTAGAAAAATATTATATTTAATAATTATGTTTCTTTGGGTTTCGTAGTTACGAATATCTTAATAATAATAAAATAAAGATATTAAAAGCATTTTCTAAAACTTCTAAATCTAAAAATCTTCGTCGTCTTCAAAATATTCTTCATCTTCATTTTCTTCCTCACCTTCATTCTCATCTTCAGCTACATTTTGTTCATTTTCACCTTCGTTTCCATTATTATTATTATTATTATCTTCATTGCCCTGAATGTTTTTCTTTCTCCGTCTCCTACGATTCTCGAGTGCTTTAAATCCTTTCTCCATACTCACTCTGAATTCGCTCTCCACTGGGCCAGGAAACCTTGGGTTTAATCGCATTGCCTCTGAAAAATATGTTGAAAATTATATGTAGTTAATATTAAATTAATAAACGTTAAATTTGAAATCAGGAGATTTATTTACCGCGACACGCTGCAGCAAAACGACTGGTTTCCAGTGCTAATTTGTTTCGACTAGGTACGCCTTTCCATGTTATATGAGGGGAGACTTCTTCTTCTTCATGGAAGGAAGCATAAAAATAAGAATTTCCGCATTCAATAGAATTATCGCGGCCAAGACTCACAAGAAAACCAACCTAAAAAAAATTAATTAAGTGGATCAGATTAAATAGACATATTGAATAAATAAATAATGAACTATTTTATTATAAAATTTGTACTAAATTATGAAATTATTTTACTTATTAAAAATAATAATATTATTTAATATATACCAAAGTATCAAAGATTTCTTGACTCGAATTATTGAAGGCCTCAAAATCCTCTCTGACACGAAATGGCAAGCCATCAGGGAGATCTTCTGCCCGTCTAAAAATTTCCGTAGTTAGCCTCCTAAGCATTTCAGTGTTGTTACTAAAAATTAAAGTTATAATAAATAAACAATTGTCTAACTGAAATGAAAATTATATATGACCATATTAGAAAAAGAATATTCAAACCTACTCAAATTTTTCCTCTAGAATCTGAAGTCGATCAATCATATGGGCATATCTCTAGAACTTTTAAACTTTGAGATATTAGAAAAATTAATTTTTCTTTCAGGGCACATTCGTGAAACAAATTTTATTGTCTTCAGTATTGATCAAATACTATACAAAAATTTGCGTAACTCATTTTTACACATTGTTACGCAGCACAGTGGGCCTTATTGCAAAAAACCTGCCCAAAATCTCTAGATGTGTTTAAAACTGACTGAAATTTGTTACTCGCGGATTTTTTTGGTCGCTGATTACAAATCCGACGTTAGTTTTTTAAAATTCAAAATGGCGGATCCAATATGGCGGACGACTTTTAAAAAATTGATCGAATTTGTCTGAAATTTGTTACTCGGGGGTTTTTTGGGTCGCTGATTACGAATCTGAACTTAGTTTTTCAAAATTCAAAATGGCGGATTCAATATGGCGGACGACTTTTAATAAAATTGATCCAATTGGCCTGAAATTTGTTACTTGGGGGTTTTCGTAGCTTAGTTTTTGTAACCATGTACATAAAATTTAAAGTTTCATTACTAATATTTCAAATGGTGTATCAAATATGTCAGAAAGATATTTTTCAATTATTCAATTTTTTAAAAAATTTTGTTTGCAATTTTGGATCCACCATTTTGAAATTAGAAAAGTTAAGTTCAGATTCGTAATCAGCGACCCCATAAACCCCCGAGTAACAAATTTTAGGCTAATGGGATCAATTTTGTACAAAGTCATCCGCCATTATGAATTTTGTAAAACTAAGTTCAGATTCGTAGTCAGCGACGCAAAAAACCCCCGAGTAACGAATTTCAGTCTAATTGGATCAATTTTTTTAAAAGTCATCCGCCATATTGGATCCGCCATTTTGAATTTTGAAAAACAAAGTTCAGATTCATAATCAGCGACCCCAAAAACCCCCGAGTAAAAAATTTGAGGCCAATGTGATCACTTTTTTAAAAAGTCGTCCGCCATATTGGATTCGCCATTCTGAATTTTGGAAAATTTAAAATTCAGATTAGTAGTCGCAGCGACCCCAAAAACCTTCGAGTGAGAAATATCAGCCAGATTTAAACACATCTATTAGTTAATACTTACTTTTCTTCACAAACTATGCGTCGGACAGTTTAGGTTTATATTCATTATTAATTATAAAGTTTTAATGAAGTGTGCAAAGGTGAACGATTTTTCTGTAGACTTTTATAATGCATGAGAAGAGATTACAATGAGTTGGGAGCATTTAGAAGCAAAATTCAACATGTGCTTTTCAAATATGTGGTTTTTTGATATGAGTTACGTTTTAAAATTTAATGTTTGAAGTCATTGCATTCTTTGTGTAAAGGAGGCACACATTCCTGTATGGGTTCAAATTACTTCTTATTAGGTAGATAATATAATCCCGTTGTGCCGTTACTCAAAAACCTCCGTTAAAAAAGTTATATCAGTTTAACTGCTAACTTGTAGAAATTTTGAAAAAGTTGTCTCGCAAGTTTGAAGCTACATAGTTTTTATTCAATTTGAGGCACATCATTGTTTCATGGATTTTTTAGTTCTTTACACTCCCACCTACTTCTATTGCAAGCCACAAGACACACAATGTTTCGTTAAAAAAGTTACAGTCTATAAACTAAAAAAAACAGTCAATATCACACACTAGAAACTGTCGATTTCACCACTTTAACTTACGTTCGTCATTTCCTACATAATTAAAAAAATTATATAACGCATGATACATTTAAAAAGCCCTATAATTGGTCAAATTATGGTATTGAAAAATTATTTAAAAAATTCTTAAGGTATCATAATGAGCGATAACATAAAGTTTAAAAGTTCTAGAGATATGCCCATATATGTTCTGAAATAAGAAGAATTTTCATGAAATGTGAATTAAATTATAATGTACATAAATTTAAAAGATTTTTAAAAGCACATTACTCACGCCCATATAGGTACTTCTTGCACATGTTGTAAATCTACCAAGACATGTTCCTCTCTTAATGTTTGTGCAGTCAAATTCTGCCCACTTGCTAATTCTTTGGGTAATAGCAATGTTTCTGCGTCAACTTCAACAACTGTTTCATTATTTTGAGGTAATAAAGGTGGAGGCTTAACAGTGAGAGATCCAGAAGAATGCGATGCCAAAGGTACAGGTTTAATTGTGGGGGTTGCAGTTTCAGATCTGCGTAGTGTATGTTGAGATGAATGAA